CGAATTCTGGATTTAGAACAGTTTAATTTCCTCATTTCATCTGTAGCCGGGCAGCCAGGGACATGATAGGATGGGTTAGGAGAACGTTCAAATCCAGACATCCCAGATCAATGCTAATACTATTTAAATCACTGCTGCCGTCACGTCTGGAGTATTGTTCATTACTCACTTCCTCTTTCAGAGCAGGAGAGATTTCTGAATTAGAGGGAATACAGAGAACATATACGGTACGCATAAACACGATAAAACATCTGAATTATTGGGACCATCTCAAAGCTCTCGAAATGTACTCTGGAAAGTTGACGAGAAAGGTATCAAATAATACATACATGGAAGATATTGGAAGGCCAGGTCCCAAATTTGCACAGTAGAATAACAACATACTGGAGCGAAAGATACGGAAGGAAATGCAGAATAGAACCAGTGAGGAGTAGAGGTGCCATAGGCACCTCTACTCCTTACTGGTTCTGTAGGAGTAGAGATGCCATAGGCACCTCTACTCCTACAGGAGTAGTAGTAGTAGATTATAGTAGTAGATTATAGTAGGAGTAGAGGTGCCATAGGCACCTCTACTCCTACTATAATCAGTGAGCCACACTCACACACTAGTGAACCACTAGTATGTATGTGTATATATATATATATATATATATATATATATATATATATATATATATATATATATATATATATATATATATATATATATATAATGTATATATATAATATTATATTTCACGGCTGTTCAACACCCTCCCAGCAAGCATTAGAAATATTACCGGAGCAAAGATAGATATCTTCGAGAAACATTTAGACAGGTTCTTTCAAGAAGTGGCGGACCAACGGGGTTGTAGTGGATATGTGGGCCTGCAGATCGCTCGAAGCAATAGCCCTGTTGGACCAAGTTATCACCAGTTGAGCCTGGCCCAGGCCGGGCTCGAGGAGTAGAACTCCCGAAACCCTCTCCAGGCACCATTTGGTCACCATTTGGTCTGGGAGACATCTCCCATCACGCAGGGTGCAGTCGCGCCTCCACAGATCTCCACAGTATCATCTATTGATACTGGTAATGGCTCAAAAGGGCCACCACTTACGGGCTATTCATGCCCGTGCCACCTTTTGGGTGGCTTAATCTTTATCAATCAGTCAATCCTCTCCAGGTATATACTAGGTATGTAGGGAAAGATGCGGCAACATCTTCTCTCCGCTTGGAATCCTGTTATTGTACTCACCTAGTTGTGCTTGCGAGGGTTGAGCTCTGGCTCTTTGGTCCCGCCTCTCAACTGCCAATCCACTGGTGTACAGATTCCTGAGCCTACTGGGCTCTATCACATCTACATTTGAAACTCAGTGTGTGTTGTCAGATGAGAGATTTGACTCACACCTGATGGCAGAATTCAGTGTCTTGAGTCATGTAATTGCTGTGATTCTGGCAGCCTCCGCAACGACCGCCATTAAGCAGTTTTAATAGAAGTCATTTTCCGCATGAGGTTAAATTCCTCTAGTGTTTCCTGGCGACACGTGGTGGGACTAGCCGCGTGACGTTCACCGGGACTTTCTCCACCACTCTTGTGTGTTGGACAAGTTCTGGGGCCAGATTCACGAAAGCACTTACGCAAGCAATTACGAACCTGTACATCTTTTCTCAATCTTTGGCGGCTTTGTTTACAATTATTAAACAGTTAATGAGCTGCGAAGCACCAGGAGGCTGTTTATAACAATAACAACAGTTGATTGGCAAGTTTTCATGCTTGTAAACTGTTTAATAAATGTAACCAAAGCCGTCAAAGATTGAGGAAAGATGTACACGTTCGTAAGTGCTTGCGTAAGTGCTTTCGTGAATCTGGCCCCTGGACTCCACGCCGTTGGCTCTTCTTCTTGTTGTCTAAGATTACCTACTTGGAACAACAAGTTCCAAGTAGCACGGGCTATGGTGAGCCCGTAGTGGATTTACCTGGCACAGGAGCGGGGCTGTAACTTGAAGGGTCGCCCCCGCCGCTGGCGCTCTTTGTCATCTTTATATTCATGTCTTCTATAGTGGGTAACGTGAAGTTGTCATGAGAGCGGGACGAGCGCCGCTTCTCACAACCTGGCCAAATTATTGGCCACAATATTGGCCACCTGGCGGCCAATATGTTCATATTCAAATGTCAAATTAAAATATATTAATTAAGCCCAGGTAATGTTAGTGCAGCGTGAAGGTCAGCAGACAGGCGAAGCGAGGTCAAACATCGAGCAGATTTTTAACCTTTCTGGTGCTGCGTCCTGCTATTTGACAAGAGCTTTCTTTGGATAATTACTTCTGGAAGCCTCCATACAGAGGGTTGAAAAGGTCAAACATGTGCCAGAGTATAAACCATTCTGCCACTGTGTGAACACCACCACCTACTGTCCTATAATCTTATATAATCATCGCGGCGGGGATCGTATTCCAGGGACTTGCCCGAAACGCTACGCGTACTAGTGGCTGTACAAGAATGTAACAACTCTTGTATATATCTCAAAAAAATAACAACTACACGATATAAACACAATCTTCGAAATACTGCTTTGGCCTGACAGCCAAAATTACACACTAAACAAAATTTATATAAGCCAAATAAATATATCTAATACAGTGGGAAAGATACCAAGTTGGAGGTTGATACCTGGTTGATGGGGTTGTGGGAGTTCTTCTACTCCCCAAGCCCGGCCCGAGGCCAGGCTTGACTTGTGAGAGTTTGGTCCACCAGGCTGTTGCTTGGCGCGGCCCGCAGGCCCACATACCCACCACAGCCCGGTTGTTTCCTCCCACGCGACCATTTAGGTGGTTGGGCACCATTCCTTTCCCCCCGTCCCATCCCAAATCCTTATGCTGACCCCTTCCCAGTGCTATATAGTGGTAATGGCTTGGCACTTTCCCCCTGATAGTTCCCCCCCCCCCGAGGCTTCCCAAGCCCGGCTAATGTGAGAGGTGGCTGTGGCTGAGCTGACCTTTAGCAAGGATATATTTACCTGGACTTTGACCAAATTACCCCCAGCCAGGTCGAGGGTAGGAAGAAAGATTATAGTATGTTAAGGTCACAGGTCAGGAGGAGGAGGAGGAGGACCCTGCTGCTGGGGGAGTCAACGAGGGCAACACTGCTTATTATTCTCCCCTCACCTTCACACGCACAAGTTTTATTACTTATAATCCTGCACCCTCTAAACCACTTTTACGGACATTTTAAATTATAACTTTATAATGTCAATTGTGTTAAAATAATCAGATAAATAATGTAAATTGCTGCAGATTAGCTACTAGTATTAAGTGATTGATTGATGATTGATAAAGATTAAGCCACCCAAGAGGTGGCACGGGCACGAATAGCCCGTAATAGTATTAAGTGATCCGAGGATGCTTATGGTGGAGCAGCACCGCTCCTGTGCTCCACTAGTAAGTCCACTACGGGCTCACCATAGCCCGTGCTACCTGCCCCGCTCCTGTGCCAGGTAAGTTACGGGCTCACCATAGCCCGTGCTACTTGGAACTTGATCCGAGTAGCTGAATCTATAACAACAACAACAACGACAGCTTATGGTGGGAGTGGTAGTGTCGGGCTCCGCTCAAGCACTCAGGTACTGCTTAACCTACCGCTCTCACCCTTCACAAGCGGCCAGTTTGAAGTGGTTTTGCTTCGCCATCAGCGCACGAAGCTAGATGTACCTAACTAACCATTCCAGACCAGTGTTCCCTCTCTCATTACGGGCTCACTATAGGCCGTGCTACGTGGAAATTTGTCTTCTGAGTACATGTATCTGAATCTAAAAGAACAGCATGAGGAGACGTCCAAATTCAGATGCTTATATTTCAGTTTATTTGAATTGAAATATGAGGTTGGCATACAACCAATCGTACTGGCGTATACCTTTCCATTGGAGACTTTCAGCGCCGTGGAGAGCGGGGACCTGCTGCCTGGGTAACAGCTTCTCCCCCACATCAACCTACCCTGGCTTTGCGTCCTGGTGAGGCCACTCCAGACTGACAACCAGAGCGCAACTCATTAGTCTCCTGAGACTGATGGATGCCTACTACTACTACTATTTGAATTGAACGTTGATGTCCATATCGCTGCATATAACATGTTATGACTACAACAGCTTCAGATGAGCGGGGAGTAATGATCAGTGTATGACTACAACAGCTTCAGATGAGCGGGGGAGTAATGATCAGTGTATGACTACAACAGCTTCAGATGAGCGGGGGAGTAATGATCAATGTATGACTACAACAGCTTCAGATGACCGTGGAGTAATGATCAGTGTATGACTACAACAGGTTCAGATGACCGTGGAGTAATGATCAGTGTATGACTACAACAGGTTCAGATGAGCGGGGAGTAATGATCAGTGTATGACTACAACAGGTTCAGATGAGCGGGGAGTAATGATCAGTGTATGACTACAACAGGTTCAGATGAGCGGGGAGTAATGATCAGTGTATGACTACAACAGGTTCAGATGAGCGGGGAGTAATGATCAGTGTATGACTACAACAGGTTCAGATGAGCGGGGAGTAATGATCAGTGTATGACTACAACAGGTTCAGATGAGCGGGGAGTAATGATCAGTGTATGACTACAACAGGTTCAGATGAGCGGGGAGTAATGATCAATGTATGACTACAACAGGTTCAGATGAGCGGGGAGTAATGATCAGTGTATGACTACAACAGGTTCAGATGAGCGGGGAGTAATGATCAGTGTATGACTACAACAGGTTCAGATGAGCGGGGAGTAATGATCAGTGTATGACTACAACAGCTTCAGATGAGCGGGGAGTAATGATCAGTGTATGACTACAACAGGTTCAGATGAGCGGGGAGTAATGATCAGTGTATGACTACAACAGCTTCAGATGAGCGGGGAGTAATGATGAGTGGAAGGCGGTGAAACATGTCAAGCACAAAATAAGACTTTCAGTCTTACCGGACTATCAGAGAGTCAACAATACCCGGAGCTTAGGTCTTAGAGGGTACTCACCTTGACGATGTCTGTAGACTCCAGGAGTTCTCTCAGGCCTCCCTCGTACATCAGACTTCGCTCTACCATTACGTCGAATATATATATGTGTCCCGACACTAGTCCTATCTGCAGCAGGGTCATGGGCCCCGAGGGGCCGAGATTGACCCCCTCGCCGTCAAAACTGACGGGTTGTCTGGCGGCGAGGATGGCGCTGACCAGCTGGCGGGCCTCCCTTATGGACACCACCACCCTCGTGTGCCGCAGCAGCCGACCCGTCACACCTTCACTGCCGACGTCGCCGCCCCCAGTGTAACTCACGCGATCACGCTCGCTGTTGTCCGCCAGGGTCTTCCGCAGCAACGAATTGACGCGAGCCTTTAGTGTCTGTTGTTGCTGTTGCTGCTGCTGGCTGTGGGCGTGGTGAGGCCGAACTGGTGACCCAGGCGAGGTCGGGGACACGGGCAGGTTTTCCTCGCGATCTGGCGACAAGGTTCCTCTCTGGACTGGCTGTTGAGGTGGTGGTTGTGGCTGCTGTTGTACTTGGATATATTGTTGTTGTTGTGGCTGCGGCTGCGGTTGTTGGTACTGAGGGGGTGGCTGTTGCGGCTGAGGAGGTGGCTGCTGCGGCTGAGGAGGAGGCTGTTGCGGCTGGGGCGGCGGCTGAGGCGTATGTGACTGATATATGTGAGAATGGACATTGTTGGGTCCAGAGGAGGCAGGGTGGACGAGACGCACCATGTTGGCCTGCACCATGAAGGTGTTAGAGTGCATCTTAAGGAAGGTGGCCAGGTCGTTGCTGCAGCGGCAGATCTGCGACAGAGTCTCCTTAGGGAAGGCATTAGTGATGCCGTTGAACAGTGTTTCCGTGATAAGTGGGCCCCGAATTAACGCTGCAGAACAGTACTGCAGAACCTGTAACAAAAATAAATACGACATGAAATAAGCATACCAACAATATCAACGTAACATTTTAATTATACTACAAAATTGTGCATCATTACAAAAAAAATAAAAAAAATCAGAGAATCTAAAGATGAATTAGAAGAATAACACTACAAATTATTACCACGAAATTTTAACCCAAACTTTAATAAACATGGGAAGCAGTCTATTTTGTATTAATCATCCATATTACAAATACAAAGAAATCTTTATTTTTTGGTCATGTGGGAAGGGAAGGGAACTATCAGGGGAGAAAGCGCCAAGCCATCACGACTATATAGCACTGGGAAGGGGTCAGGATAAGGATTTGGGATGGGACGGGGGAAGGAATGGTGCCCAACCACTTGGATGGTCGGGGGATTGAACGCCGACCTGCATGACGTGAGACCGTCTGGTCATGTGGGAATGGATTTCCCAACTGCCGTCCACTACAGTGTATGGTTTCCATAGCAACACTCCTAGTTAACATATTCTTCCAAAACGACCACGTCACCAGTCCACCATTCCACCCGTGTCAAGAAAATCCATTTAAACTATATTCAAGAGCTTCATTTGTAATTCAAACAGGAAAAATGACTATTTAACATTATATGTTACTGATGCTACTACCACGACACCCACCGCTCCTGTGCCAGGTAAGTCCACTACGGGCTCACCATAGCCCGTGCTACTTGCCCCGCTCCTGTGCCAGGTAAGTTCACTACGGGCTCACCATAGCCCGTGCTACTTGTCCCGCTCCTGTGCCAGGTAAGTCCACTACGGGCTCACCATAGCCCGTGCTACTTGCCCCGCTCCTGTGCCAGGTAAGTTCACTACGGGCTCACCATAGCCCGTGCTACTTGCCCCGCTCCTGTGCCAGGTAAGTCCACTACGGGCTCACCATAGCCCGTGATACTTGCCCCGCTCCTGTGCCAGGTAAGTCCACTACGGGCTCACCATAGCCCGTGCTACTTGCCCCGCTCCTGTGCCAGGTAAGTCCACTACGGGCTCACCATAGCCCGTGCTACTTGCCCCGCTCCTGTGCCAGGTAAGTCCACTACGGGCTCACCATAGCCCGTGCTACTTGCCCCGCTCCTGTGCCAGGTAAGTTCACTACGGGCTCACCATAGCCCGTGCTACTTGTCCCGCTCCTGTGCCAGGTAAGTCCACTACGGGCTCACCATAGCCCGTGCTACTTGCCCCGCTCCTGTGCCAGGTAAGTTCACTACGGGCTCACCATAGCCCGTGCTACTTGCCCCGCTCCTGTGCCAGGTAAGTCCACTACGGGCTCACCATAGCCCGTGCTACTTGCCCCGCTCCTGTGCCAGGTAAGTCCACTACGGGCTCACCATAGCCCGTGCTACTTGCCCCGCTCCTGTGCCAGGTAAGTTCACTACGGGCTCACCATAGCCCGTGCTACTTGTCCCGCTCCTGTGCCAGGTAAGTCCACTACGGGCTCACCATAGCCCGTGCTACTTGTCCCGCTCCTGTGCCAGGTAAGTCCACTACGGGCTCACCATAGCCCGTGCTACTTGCCCCGCTCCTGTGCCAGGTAAGTTCACTACGGGCTCACCATAGCCCGTGCTACTTACCCCGCTCCTGTGCCAGGTAAGTCCACTACGGGCTCACCATAGCCCGTGCTACTTGTCCCGCTCCTGTGCCAGGTAAGTCCACTACGGGCTCACCATAGCCCGTGCTACTTGCCCCGCTCCTGTGCCAGGTAAGTTCACTACGGGCTCACCATAGCCCGTGCTACTTACCCCGCTCCTGTGCCAGGTAAGTCCACTACGGGCTCACCATAGCCCGTGATACTTGCCCCGCTCCTGTGCCAGGTAAGTCCACTACGGGCTCACCATAGCCCGTGCTACTTACCCCGCTCCTGTGCCAGGTAAGTCCACTACGGGCTCACCATAGCCCGTGCTACTTGTCCCGCTCCTGTGCCAGGTAAGTCCACTACGGGCTCACCATAGCCCGTGCTACTTGACCCCGCTCCTGTGCCAGGTAAGTCCACTACGGGCTCACCATAGCCCGTGCTACTTGTCCCGCTCCTGTGCCAGGTAAGTCCACTACGGGCTCACCATAGCCCGTGCTACTTGCTCCGCTCCTGTGCCAGGTAAGTCCACTACGGGCTCACCATAGCCCGTGCTACTTGCCCCGCTCCTGTGCCAGGTAAGTCCACAACGGGCTCACCATAGCCCGTGCTACTTGCCCCGCTCCTGTGCCAGATAAGTTCACTACGGGCTCACCATAGCCCGTGCTACTTGCTCCGCTCCTGTGCCAGGTAAGTCCACTACGGGCTCACCATAGCCCGTGCTACTTACCCCGCTCCTGTGCCAGGCAAGTCCACTACGGGCTCACCATAGCCCGTGCTACTTGCTCCGCTCCTGTGCCAGGTAAGTCCACTACGGGCTCACCATAGCCCGTGCTACTTACCCCGCTCCTGTGCCAGGTAAGTCCACTACGGGCTCACCATAGCCCATGCTACTTGCCCCGCTCCTGTGCCAGGTAAGTCCACTACGGGCTCACCATAGCCCGTGCTACTTGGAACTTGTTCCGAGTAGCTGAATCTATAACAACAGCAGCTACTACCCAGCGCTCCCAGTGCCCGGTGTTCGGCGGCCAAGCTCCACAAACAATCGATAGTCTCAAATATTGATCTAGCCGGTTCTTCAAGTTTCTTATTGTCATAATACTGTGAGCGATAACAGCATCGGGAGGGGAGCCCTCCAGTGTGGCGTAGCTGTCTCAGACTCGCGCCTCCTTGACCAAGTTTGACGTAGATTTGATCTGACATTTATCGTCGATGACTCGCCCGTGTACCTAAAATAATGTTTCCGCTGATATATACAACACACCGCCCAGTGGTGGTGCAGGACGAATACAAACTACAATTAACTTTATACTGGAATGTAAATACGGCAGGTAGATTATAGGGTGCTATAGCCACTCTGCCGCCGCCGCCGCCGCCGCCACCATTATAGGCTACCATAACCACTCTGCCGCCGCCGTCACCACTGTGCCACTGCTTTGATGACACTACTTCAAACAGCCTTAACAGTACGTGGAACCCTACGATATAGAAACGGTATAGATAACAACATCAGAATAAAGGAAACTGCAGAAGGCCTATTGGCCCATACGTGGCAGCTCCTATTTATATCCACCCAAACTCATTCACATATATATGTCTAACCTGCGCTTGAAACAATCAAGGAAGCCTTCACCTATTATGTTACCCGGTAATTTGTTCCAGAAATCCATAACCTTATTACCAGGACAGAGCCTTGAGGCACTCAAGCCTTGTGACACTCAAGCCTTGAGGCACTCAAGCCTTGAGGCACTCAAGCCTTGAGGCAGCTGTCTGGGGCCCTGACAGCTGAGTGGACAGCGCTCGGGATTCGTAGTCCTAAGGTTCCGGGTCCGATCCCCGGCAGAGGCGGAAACAAATGGCCAGAGTTTCTTTCACCTTGATGCCCCTGTTCACCTAGCAGTGAATAGGTACCTGGGAGTTAGACAGCTGCTACGGGCTGCTTCCTGGGGATGTGTAACAAAAAGGAGGCCTGGTCGAGGACCGGGCCGCGGGGACGCAAACCCCCGAAATCATAAACAAATCCACAAGAGCCGTGACGAGAATTCGAACCTACGTCCGAGATCATCCCAGACGCTGCCTTAATCGACTGAGCTACGACATGGTCAAAAGAGTTGAAACCAGAAGTTGAAGTCCCCGAAATCATCTCAAGATAACCACTCCATTTACAACGGTTTCTCACTCTGACTTAACTCCATTTAAACTAAATATTCGTTCCCTTTGCTATAGCCATGCCCTAATCCAACTTAAGATAACACCCCAATACCGTGATCCTTTATCTTTTTAATCAGTCTTTCACGAGGCGCTGTATCAAAAGCTTAGATATAGTCAAGGTTCACAACGTCACAATCTTATCCCATATAAGAACTGCAGAAGGACTATTGGCCCATAAAAGTCAGCTCCTATTTATAGCCACCCAAACTCATTCATACATAAGAAATATTGCCGGAACAACCGTGGACATCTTCAAGAGGAAACTAGATTGTTTCCTCCAAGGAGTGTCCGACCAACCGGGCTGTGGTGGGTATGTGGGCCTGCGGGCCGCTCCAAGCAACAGCCTAGTGGACCAAACTCTCACAAGTCAAGCCTGGCCTCGGGCCGGGGTTGTGGAGTAGAAGAACTCCCAGAACCCCATCAACCAGGTATCAACCAGGTATGTACCCCCGTAGTTTGTTCCACAAATCCACAACCAAACCAGTATTTACCCAGGTATTTCCTAAATCTACACTTATCCAATTTATATCCATTGTTTCGTGTTCTATTATGTGTGGATATACTTAATACAATATTATTATTAAGGACGGACTGAAACTTCTTCGTTTCAGTCCGTCTTATCTTTTAGGAATTACCTTCGTCTCATACCTGCTCCTCACCTTACTTTTTCTTTATTTATTGCCCGTTCCTTCCTCCCCGTTCCTTCTTCTCTTCCTTTACGGGCTATTCATGCCCGTGCCACCTCATGGGTGGCTTAATCTTCATCAATCAATCTCTCTTCCTCACAAACGACTTGACAATGGTCCAAGACGAGCCGAAACGTCGTCGTCTCCTCATCTTCTAATGTGTGGTTTGGTTATCATATCTTCAGCCTCGTTATTGTGACTCACCGTCTGTGAGGAGTAAGTTCTCGTCTCAGAGTGTCACGAAGGACTTGGGACTTAGAAAGACTGACAATGCCCGTGCCACGTCACGGGCCTGACGGCTGAGTTGACAGCGCTCGGGATTCGTAGTCCTAAGGTTCCAGGTTCGATCCCCGGCTGTTGTTGTTGTTATAGATTCAGCTACTGGGAACAAAAAGTTCCAAGTAGCAGGGGCTATAGTGAACCCGTAGTGAACTTACCTGTCACAGGAGCGGGGCTGTAACTTCCAAGATCCCCGGCGGAGGCGGAAACAAATGGGCAAAGTT